TTAATAAATGATGAATAATAAAACATGAAATAGTTCATAAAATATATTTTTACTTTTTTCTCAGTAAAAAAATTGCGTGATATTTTTTAAAATAAATATCGCATGCTAATTCTTGGCACTGGGAGAATTCACAGTTGACTTTTACAATACTCTGTGGTTCTTTGGGTGCCAAAGCTTAGTGTGTCGATCATACTGCAAATCTTTTGACATTACTTGTGTTTATGCTATATATGTATATTTCAAACGTACTCACGAAATTTCTGTTTAATGTTAAGTGAATGTTAAAAGTTTTTAAAATAAAATAACTACGATCTATGTATATTAGAGATACTGATTATGTAAAACGTAGTCAATAAATTCCTGTCGAATGAAAAGGTAACTTTGACCCTATATAAAACAGAATAACTACGATCTATATTGGATATACTAAGACAGTAGGTAATTTGCTTCCTTTTAGATCACAATAACATAACTCGAAGAATGTTCATAGAATAATACCGCATTCTATAGCTCGCGGTGAATTAGTCCAAACCATGTTACTTAATAAATATCTTTCAATCTTTATTCATTAATTTTCTCCTGTCGCCTCTCAGAAATACGTTTAATAGCTGCCAAGAATCATTGGAATGCTGTTTTTAGCTGTAGTTTAGCAATATTCTATAAAATGGAGCTGATGTTCGGTCAAATAATTTTCGATCTGGCTCGATTACAGTATTTTTTGTGTTGTAGTCAATGGATGAAAATGACAAACATTGCTGTCTCTGATGGAAAATTTTTGAACTCAAGCTCGTAATCAGGACTTAAAATTGTAAAGAAAAATTTGGACTAATAGTTCATATATTTTTTTAGTTTGACCCACTCTCATTCCTACCAAATTCTGCACATTTATATTCTTACATACCTACATATAGTACACCAGTTCAGTCATAAAAGCGATGATTCAGCCAGAGGCAATTTTTATTGTTAGGCAACACGCGATAATATAGCCGCTCTGTGAATAACACGAATGACAGTTGGAGCGTCTTCGATTGACAGTAATTAAACCTTTGATATACCCTTTGGTTGGTATATTTTATTGATTTGAAAATGTCTTTATTTATTTTTCACACATACATCACAATTATGGAATTTCTGTTAATATTTGGCGGGTCTAACACACATTTACATGTACAGGATAGGATTAGGGTTAGGCGCAAAGGCAAGCTGTAAGAATAAATATGAATATGAATTATGGGATAAAACTTGTTTTTACATTTTAGAGCCAATGTAAACATTTTTATATATGTATCTGAGATCAAACTCATATATAAAATAAGGAATTTCAATTACATACTATTTTTTCTATTTACACTTGCTGACTATTTTCACTGCCAATTACTTAACCCTAATAGCCACTTGCATTGAATGGTAACGTGCATTTATCGCATCTATTTACACACATACACATAAATATATGCATGTATACATGTTGTTAGGACATTGCTGACACGGTGGAGCCTTCATTCATTCTTCCATATTTGCATATAAAATCAGCTCTGCAATGTAATTATATAACCATAATTCATATGAATGAATGTCAAATGATCAGTCGTATGAATATTTGAAGTCAATCGCTTTAACCGTTTTAGAGCAGATTTTGTCACCGACTCTGAAAACAGCATTTTGAGAAAATCGTAGAACGAAAAGTACTGGGAGCCAATGACACCAAAATTAAAAGCTCATATCTCCGAGACTATTTCTCAGATCAACTTCAACTTTTTGAAGAACATTCTCAAATATATGTAAATATCCGACATATAAGCAAAAATTCGATTGTTTGAGATTGACAAGTAAATACAATCCCTTAAGGCAACTAACTAACGGGCAAGAGATAGCGTTCGCATTGGATGCGATATAATTTAACAAAAAAAATTTTTTTCTACTATTGCGTGTTGCTTTGTAGATAATTTCAAAAAAGCATTCGCTCATTCATTCCTTTTTCAGCGATCTAGTACTTATAGAATCATGTCCATGAGAAACAAAAGAGTCAAGATTCGCGCAAACATCTAGAAAATCTAGAATATATGTTTGATCGAGCTTTTATTCTTATCTTCACCTCTTCCTTGCATTCTTTTGAAGTTGATGTGATCTCAACCATTAAGGTGAAGAAATTAACAGAAACATAGAGTCTTCTTTTCGCCGAGACTTGACTAGTATCGGAAATGTGATACCAACCGTTAGGTACAGAAAAAGAAGTTCACCGAGATTTGGCTGGTATAGCAAATATATAGTTTCAGCTCATCCATCAGTTTCTGTTGGGTATACTATATACTTATATAGGTATACCAAATGGGTCGAAAATTTAGCTCAGCCTAACTTAAAATAAAGAATCGCTCTTAGTTATACATACTTCACACAGCTTCATTAATAGTAGTACTAAGAAAACTAAATATTAATGCTGAAAATTTAATTCCACTTAACTAACGGTAACTTAGAATTTCCCAAACACGAATTTCACCACAGCAACTACAATTACGCCATAACATTACTCTATACTTTTCAGTTTTTTAAGTACCCCTGTATTAACGTTGTAAATTTGGTGTTGCTTTCCCCGTTACATATTCATTTTGTCTCAAAAACTACCCAAACATTTTCGTAATAAAGCACTTTGATTACATGCATATAGTATATGGTAATATACAAGCAGGCGCATGCAATGGAGTGGACTTGGTAAATGCAAAATAGGCACCAAACATATGAAAATATGTTTTACGGGCTCCGGTAAGTACAAGTCACGGAAATTCCATGCATGCCATATTTGCACGTCAGCGCAGGTGAACGCGTTTGGGCTGAGACGGCTTTTCAACTACCAAATATATTCCATACCCTGACATCAGTACCTTCCAGCGCCTTGCTCTACCTGAGGTACCTGAGGGTAGCTGCACACAACTTCTAGCCAACGAATTCACTCTACAAAAAACATAAATAAATGTGTACAGTTTTACATATACATATGTAAATTGGTATGCACAGGTGCCGGCGTTAGTATGAGGTGGTTTTAATGTGCAGGGATAATTTATTTTATCGCTGGCAACAAATCTAAATTGATCGTTAGACTACCAAGCGACGTCAAATGCCAACGCCACTGCAACCAGCAACCAGCCACCACCGCATATTCTACATTTTATACAACGTTACCGTTATTCTGAGGTAACGCAGGCACATTGTATGCAATTCGTGTAACAAAACGAATTCGTAACAACAATTTTATGAGTTTTCCATTTATAAGGCTTTGTTGTGGTTTTTGATTATTTGCGTTACTTTGTTTTCCAAGAAAAGCTTTCATCAATTCTATGACAAGCTTATTAAATTTGTAGAAAGAGTATGAGTAATAATAAACTGGTTTATAATTACGTGAGTAGTGAAGGTAATATGTACTAATAATGGTAAAGTGGCATGTGCTGTAAAAAAATCGGTAGTGCTTTAACTTATTTCACAAACTAATAGAGCTTTCATAAACAAGAAGAATGAAAGCTGGCACATTTTTGATACATCACAATTGACTGCTACTTTAAATAGCCAAAAATTGAAAATTTAATTTACTTAAAAAATTTCGGGTTAATATCAAAAGAAAGCTTTCGTGGTATGCGCAAAAAGCTTTCCGAAATCGTAGAGGAAATTCTTAAAGCTTTATAATCGTAGTATAAATTCGAAGCCAGAATTTAGGTGGCTAAGTTTAAAAACAAAGAGAAAGTGGTTTAATTCGAACCCAAATAAGCTTTCACATAGAAAAAGCTTTTTTTAATAAACTGTTATGAAGTTCTTAAAGCATTCTACATGTAACTTACAATTATATAACTATACATTCATATTTTATAATTCAATATTACTGTGATTCCCTTTTCAGGTGCATTTTGAGTACACTGAACCATATCACACCCTCATGGCTGCCCAACAGAACTCCACGCTCATCTACGACAATTTGGATGAGTGTCCCTCATTGCTAAAAGAACCCGAAGAACTGAGCAGTTATAGCCCGATCTTACCTTTGAAAAATCAAAATAATGCCATTAAACAGCAATTGAAACAATCGCATAAGAACAACAACAATAATGACAATAAAAACTCAAATACTAAAGAACTTCATAAATATCGGAAATACACGAAGGGTCGTCATCACGGAAATTATGCAGCGAGTAGCTGCAGCACGAAGAGCAGCCGAAGTCGTACGATATCTTTGAGTGGCGTCAATAGCACTGAGGTGAGTAAGATTGAAATTGAATTGGATCGCAGTGGCATTTAACTATGATATAGTGCAGAGCCTTTTGAAAACTTTCATACACAAATTTTTCTCTTACGCAAATACAGCATATTTTTATACCTAAATAAAATATGTATTTTTTCTCTCTCTCTCTTTTCTCTCTCTCTTTTTGACTCTCTCGTCACTCGTAGGAGCAAGGCCACAAGGAGATACCCATTTGGCTGGACGAGGAACCGCGTTACGTGTCCGGCGTAAATAGGCGCACCACCTGCAATGACATTATTAAAGCTTTGATTGATGATGAAATCCGTAATGGCGGCAATTACGATTATTTTTCCAATTGTACCAAATGTAAGTCAAGTTAATAAAAACAAAAACGCTGCTATTTGTAAGACTATTAAGCGGGGTATAATGTTTGGTGGTTATTTGTGAGGGGGTGTATCAGAAATGAGAAAGCGGGGGAGCGCAGTAAATTCAGAAGGCCTTATACATATGCCTACTCTAAATTATCACTCACACTCTCTCTCTCCTTCTAGCTTTACTATATACGTTGTTTAATAATAAGTATTTTGATTTCGAAATGCAAATATTTAGAATATTTACACTGAAATATATATCTAAATATACATATGTATATACACATCCCAAATACTATATACTAATTACTATTGATTTCTTGTATTTTTTGGGCATTATTTTACCACCAACCTTCCACACCTACACTTTTGGCAATACCCGGCAACTCTGTCGTGTCTTGACTTTGCGGCTACCTGCTTGTTGTTTTACTATTATACACATGGACTATGCTTCCGGTACTTTCCGCTTACTATGGACTCACTTCCGTTCGGACGGACGCGTTTTGTGGGGTTGCGACTTGCTACCCAACGCCGCCTGCCACCCACCAATGGCATGCACCTTCATATATTTGTATATATTTGTATACTATGTGCGAATAGCTGGCGCAGCATCGCGTGACTACAACGATTATGTTATAACGGAAAGTTGGCGCGGTATCGAGCGCAGCTACGATGGCAATATGGCAATTTTGCCCGTTTGGAAAGCCTGGAGTCGTGTGCACAATGAGGTAATTCGCTTATATACCAATATTTGCAGGTTATTTTTTCGAAAAGCATATACAACAAACATGAATTTATATATGTACATATATCATTTTATATATGCGCGTTATTAGACCGCCCACTAGTAGTTCTTTCGTGTTGTTACCTGTTCCTAAACTGTGATTATATAACGCTGGCGCGCTTGAGTGGTAAAAAAATATTGGCGCCACACGCAAAACTGCGTATATACAAAAAGTAGAAGCGTCATAAAATTAACAACAAAAACGCATAAGGCAATGCCTCGGACATTATTAGCCTTGTTTAGGTGTTTTACCGTTAATCGATTTTTATATACATATGTATATGTTAGATATTCCGAAATGGTAAACAGACTATTTAGCTAGAAAAATTATATCCCTATCATATTTTTTAAAAACCCTGTTACACAGGCCTGTTTAGATTTCAAGGATCCACCGAAGAACATTCAACTGATTTCTAAATAGTAACTTATATGTACTTAATATATAATTCCGCTCAAAAGGAATCTTTAGGGTTTCAAGAAGCCACACTCAACACAATTTCTATTTCTGTCATACCTATATCGAGTGGAATGTATGTGACATTATACCAATGGACCTCATATAGTAGGTTTAGTTAGGTAAATAGGCACGCATAATCCCGCTTGGAATACTAGCGATGCTTGTCAGTTGTCATGTGCATAACCCCTAAGTACGGATCAAAAAGACTGACGTGCATATATCTACAAAGCGCCCACAGCCAGCCACAAATTTATTGAGCCAACTACTAACTACTCCAGTCTATTCGCCGGGGATCGCAGAAAGTATGGTAGCAAGATTCCTCAACCTTAGTCTAATAGCTGGACAGTAAAGCAGAAAATGTTTAGATGTTTCCACCTCATTTTCCTCCCTGCAACTTTGATGAGTTACGTGCACCAAAATCTTTAGCCTCATCGTGTGAATGTCAATGGGACAGTAACCAGTTAGGACATCTATCGCTGCGACCATGTAGTCCTTGCTAGAGCTGGTAGCTGCATGAACCTTTTGCGATCCACTCTGGGGCCAGAAGTCTTTCGCAACCCCACAAGTGCTGGTTGCTGACCAACGCTTACTGATTCCGCGTGAAGACCATAGATTTAGCTCCCTAACCCATCCTAATGGGATTTGGGTAGAGTTGCCCTTTCTAGCAAGCTCATCCACTTCATCCACGCAATATTAGAGATTCTTTTTGCCTGCTGACATACTTTTATATTATAGCAATTTTGTTCAAGATAATACCCCAATATATTTATCCCATTTAAGAAAATCAAAATTTTTTTCTTCGCAGATCCGGCTTACCCTCAAGCACCACAAAGACGTCGCAGAACCAGCACCGCCAAAATCAAGCACTAACTGGTTCCAGACTCTGCGAAAGTATTTTGCCAAATTATTGAAATTCCCGAAACGAAATAAAAAAATGCTGCCACCTGCTATAAATAAGCAACAAAATATACTTTTACCCATCAAAGAAGAAGAAAGCCCCGATGAAATCATCTTTGCTCTATTACCCGATAAAAAATATGACAATTCATCGGCATCACCGAAAACTAACATTCCCTCACAAAACGCCTACAATACGCATGATCCCGTTACAAATGCTGAGATGCTAAAGAGAAAGCTCTACAGCCTATCCGAGACGCGCGTGTCCATGCGTCGCAAACGACGCGTTAACAAAACACCAAAGCGCAAAAATCCGCAACCACGCGAAAAACCGCCAAATCAAATACACGAAGTGACAAGTAACTGTATACGCCGACGCAAAGATGCACCCTTACGGCATTCCATACGGCACAAGTTAGCGCAGAAGACCAACGAAATCGATATGCTTTACAAACGTGAATACGAACTCACACAGCGTTTGACACACAAGTCCCAACTTTATAAGCTGCACAACGAATTGTATGCCAAGGCGGACCAACAGCTGGAAATCTCTATTGGCCAAATACAACGCAATGTCGAGCAGTATGCCGAACAAATCATACAAACGGAGCAGGAATTGCGCGAGTTGAAGCAGGAAATCAAGCAGGATATATCGATTGTGAATAATCTCAAGCGCATGGCTCTAAGTAGTGCGGAGAGCGCAAATGATTGCGGTGTACCGCTCATGCCCCAACTGGTGGAAGAAGTGCAGCATGAAGTGCAACCGCTGAAGAGTGTTGTCAATACGGAAATGCAATTTGTTGACAATATTTATGAGTTCTGTGACAACAATGCCAGCATGTTGGTATAGATTTGAGAAAGAAATGCGAGCCTAAGTTGTTCACTGTTTTGGCAGTTCGCAATCGTACGCTCTGCAGAAATGTCAAATTGCACTCAGAGTTGCTTAAACACTCCTTTAAAAAAGTATTTTTTAATTGCTATAAAATTTTATTTTAAGCATATTTCAACATAAATTAATTTTTTCACATACTGCCAAGTTTTTTAAGAAAATATGGTAACACCGATTGTGCCTAATTAACAAAAAAAAGTAAGATTATTTTAACTCGCTTCTTTTTACACATATTCTAAAGTAAAAGTGGCATATTTTTATTAAACATAAGTTATTTTAAATAAGTTAAACTAATTTTACAAAAAAAGTGCTACTAACATGCCGACAATATTAGTATTTAGTCAAAATATTATCAAACGAACCTACTACTTGTTACTAAATATATATTATAAAATCAGTTTTAAGTATTGTGAACTGATTTTGAATAAGTTGAAATAAAAGTAAATACAATATTTATAAAAAGTTTGTATGTTTCAATTATAGCTATTTTCTAGCATAAATTGAGTATGGAAAAAAATCATCCGTTAACACAGAGTCAAAGGATATTTGCAATGTGTTGACAAACACGTTGCATCAGCTGATTGTCAACCTGTCACAAAGTAACGGTAACTTGTCACTAATTTGTCCATTGTCAACCTGTCGCCAAGCTGTGGCAGCCCATCTATAGTATTTTTCTTCCTTCGAAATGCTTACACACGAAGATCTTTCTAACTCCTTGAAACAAATATCTCGTTTCATAGATTTTTTAGGAAATTGAAAGCGTCACAATATCGTCGTTTACGAATTTTTCGTAAACCTAACCGTTTGACCATGAATATCTCATAAATGACTAACTTAACTGAAAAGTTTTACGAAACCAATTTTTAGAGCAGTAAATTTTCTACAAGACTATGATATATTTATGTTTATAGTGGCAGTAACACAATTTTTATGTGTATATATTGCAATTTAACTCGAAGCTTGCAAGCTTTATTAAAAGCTTTTCAAAATGTACCCTTAGTCAAGCCACAAGCCATTTAAAATTTTGGTTGAAAGCTTTCGTCTAAGCTTTTCTTTAGTCAAACCCAAAGCCCATTTCAGCTTTTGGTTGAAAGCTTCCATATAAGCTTTTAAATACATAGAAACTTCTTTAGTTAAACTAAAAACCAAAAAAAAATCACGGGAAAGCTGCCCGCTCAGCTTTGCTCAGACAGCTATAAAGGCTTCTAAGCTAAAAGGCTGCAATTTGAGGACACAGCGAGGAATTTTTATACATAGCCAATCAACTCGGCTCACAAAAAGTCAGACTTTATTAGAAGCGGTATTTAGGGCCTATATATTGCAGTATAGCATATGATTACTCACGTGATAAGAAAACCTTTTCTTCGTAATAAGTGCAACGAACAGTGTTCATTTTAACATTTTCTCAAATATGCGCATAATAATATTTATTGTTACATTTGTTGTTATTTTCTTGTTCTTTGTTGTTATCATCAATATATTATATATAATTATTGTTATTATTTGGTTCTCTTTGGTAATAGTACTTGATTATAATACAATAATTCTCCATAAATATTGACGTTTATAATTATTGCAATATTTGTTGCTTACTCTGCATAATTTTTTATAATTCTTCTTCTTTTTTAATTATAATATAATTAACGCAGAACTCAAAAACGCATACAATATAAACATGTTTTGTATTTACATAACAGTACTCGTATATTTTCATTACTTATGTATATGTATATGCTTATGTAAGTAGTACAAATACAAAGCTGGTATGTACGAACGTTTGGGAAATGTGAAAATATCTATTAAAGCTATGTAGATAGCTAGAGTTGGCAATAACTGAAGGGTATACATATATAAATAGCCATATGTTGTTGTTTGTATGTGTATTTGTATCATATTTACAATTTAATTTCGTTTCTTCATAAGAGTATGTCATTTTATATCTTGCTTATTTATAAGTGAAATGTTTTTGTGAGTTGTTTCGTTACAGTGTTTGAAATGTTTGAAGATGGCAACTTAATGGTGAATTGTCTCGAAATTTCAATTTTTCGTTTTATTTTTGCATTTATATAAATCAAATTTTGCTTCAAAGCGGATTATTATTATTTTTTATACAAAATGCTGTCGTGATACCTGTTTAAAGTATGACTTTATACTTTTTTGATAAATATTTTTTGTTAAAATATTTAATATTTGCTTAAAAAAAATAACTATTATTATATTATATAAACAAACATACAAAAACAAAAAAAATTTAATTTAAATTAAATATTAAGCACTCACAAAAGTCACTAAAGTTGTTATTTACAAGATGTGTATAAGAGACAGCGAGCTGCTTGATGTGGATGATGGTCGACCGCCATGCGACGACTTACTAGTTGAT